ATATCCGATCTATGGTATCTAGATTCACTTGGAATTCTAGATCCCTCAAAGAAGAAAAGTAAACCAGAACTTCAAGAAGAAGCAAGAGATCATTTCTTGTCTACTGTAAAGATGAACGAAGAGGGACGTTTTCAAGTCAACTTGCCATGGATAACCGTTAAAACTATATGACCATTAAAAGATACTGTGATATCCGTTAAAAGATAACTATGATTTAGCTGTAAAGAGATTAGCTTCTACAGTAAAACGACTAAAAGCTGAGAAACTTTATGATGCTTATGGAGAAGTTTTTAGTGAATGGGAACGAGAAGGCATCATAGAAGAAGTACCAAAAAGCAAAATTGATGTAACATGTCATTATCTACCACATTGACACGTAGTAAAATAAAACAGTACTACATGAATCAGGCTAGTGTTTGATGTCTCGGCCAAACAAAAAGGATCACCTAGTCTCAATGATTGTCTAGAAAAAGATCAAAACCTTATCGAACTGATTCCTTCAATTCTTCATAGATTCTGAATGAACAGAATAGGAGTTTCCGCAGATATACGAAAAGCATTCTTACAAATAAATCTCAACCCTAAGGACAAAGACTATCTAAGATTCTTATGGTATACAACTGATGGAAAACTGAAGTATTACAGGCATTGTAGGGTAGTATTTGGAGTTACAAGTAGCCCTTTCTTGCTAGTTTCTGTAATTCACCATCTTCTAGAATCCACTTTGAAACAAATAAATGGAAACCCAAAGTATAAAGTGGATATTATTGAGCACTTGAAGAACAGCTTTTATGTAGATAATTGTTTAGCGAGTACACAAAATGATTTAGAATTGCAACAGTTCATACAAGTTGCTTCAGATACTTTAGCTACAAGAAAGCTAGAATTACGTGGTTGGGAATATAGCAAACCCAACAGATAATTCCTCTAGTACCACAAATGTATTACCGTCTTTTTCTGAAAATAAGACATCCTCCGAAAATAAGCCATATCGTGATTTTCGGAACTTTTTGTAAAATAAGACATCCCCCGAAAATAATCTTTAGTTAAAATAATGTGACAAAAAGAATTCGTTAAAGGAAGTGGGTTGATTTTATGCTGCCACCACTGTTGAGGGGTCAGAATAGAGGTTTACTACTTTGGGATTCAGCCAGTACTCAGCGTGCTAAAGACATGATAAACTTTCTTGCTGAGAGGAAGATTGATCAAATAATGATTCCGGCAGGAATGACTGGTTACCACCTCCAGACACTTGACATTGCAATAAACAAGCCATTCAAGGATCATTTGTGGATGGAAATCAATGAATATATTGAAAACAGAATGGTGAGAAATCATTGAGGTAATTTTGTAAAACCAGGCTTACAAGAAGTTGTGAATTGGGTAAAAAATTCATGGGACAAAATAACTGATAGTGATGTTTCCGATGCACTACGAACAGGCTACTTAGACAATATATTCATTTAACGATAGCTATATCGCAAGACATGAGAGATTCGGACCAATGATTCAACAGGAAATGGATTTGGAAGAAAATCAGAATATAATTCAAAATTTTATTTATGACGATGTTCCAGAAGAAGATGACATGACTGTAATTGAATAAATTTAAATTTATGTACTCTGTGTAAAATAATATTAAATAAAAATATATAAATATACTTTTAATTTTGCCCTTCCCCGAAAATAAGCCCTAGCGCGTATTTTGGACCAAAAAAAAAGTAAGACAGTGTCTTATTTTCGGAAAAAGACGGTAGGAATGATTTGGGAACGATGTGGAGATTACCTTTGCTTTAATATTACTAACATCACCTACAATCTACCAGCAATTTTGTCTAAAAGAGAGAATTTAGCTAGTACACACAAAATATTCAACCCTTTAGGAATAGCTTGCCCCGTAACTCTAATGCCGAAACTTTTACTTCACCTATGGGAAGTTATCTTGGGAACAAGAAGTTAATTCAAATTCAAAATCACAATTTTGTAAATGGTTGAATGATTTGCAGTGTCTGGAAAGAATGAGAATACCAAGATGGTTAAACTGTGATCGTGAGATTGAAAATATCTCATTTCATTTCTTCAGTGATGAGAGTAAACTTGCATATTCAGCTGTGGCCTTTGTTCGAGTACAAACAAGAGATTTGGTTCAAGTTCATTTGGTGCAAGCTAAAGCGAGAGTTGCACCCAGCAGGAAGGAAAAAGACAACAATAGCTCGATTGGAACTTCTTGGAGCTACAATATGTACACGTTTAGCATCCAGCATAATACCTGAATTTCAAGCTGAAGATGATATTTATTTTTGGACAGATTCGTCTACTGTGCTAGCTTGGATACAGAGGAATGAAGTATGGGACGTATTTGTTCACAACAGAATTAAGGAAATAAAGCGACTGACTTCTATTGAATCTTGGAGGCACGTACCAGGATCACTGAATCCTGCTGATTTGCCCAGTATAGAGGATGCTCTGCTTCTTATTTAATTAAATCTAGATGGTGGGAAGGTCCCTAAATGGCTATATTTATCACCAGAAAAATGGCCAAAAGAAGATTTTAGTGCTGATGAAGAAGAAATAGCTCTTGAGAAAAAGAAAAGGATTATTTCGTCCTTAATAAATCTTAATGCTAGTGAAATAGTTGCTACTAGATTCTCAAGTTATCGTAAGACAATCAGACTGGTAGCGTGGATGTGTCGTTTTATTTAAACATCACAAGAAAAACTGTAAACATCAAAACAAGAAAAAGGATGAACTTACTACTGTATCTGAGTTAAATGAAGCAGAAGAATATCTTGATTCGTTTAATACAAAATGAGTCCTTTAATGGAATAGAAGATAAACGGATTTTAAGTCTTAATCCCTTCATTGATTGTGGGATCATCAGAATTAAAACAGCGATATTTCAAAGAATAAAATAATACTAGTACTAAATAAAACAGTACTACATGAATCAGGCTAGTGTTTGATGTCTCGGCCAAACAAAAAGGATCACCTAGTCTCAATGATTGTCTAGAAAAAGGTCAGAACCTTATCGAACTGATACATCAGAGTTCAGAACTCCTGCTATATTGCCAAGTGATCATCCTCTTATAAGAAGTTTCTAATCGAGCAACATAAGTTAAAAGAACATATTGGAGTTTCTCACGTCCTAAATTCTTTAAGAGAAAGATTTTGGATATTATTGGGAAGAAGAGTTGTGTCATCCATTTTGAAAACTTGTATAACATGTAAGGGTTATCCAAATAAAAATGTTAACCCACCAGCTCCACCACTTCCTAGAGATTGGGTACAAGATGCCTCAGAGTTTCAAATAACTGATATAGATTATGTTGGACCTATATTTCTAAGAGAATACATGAAGGTGTGGATTTGCCTATTCACTTGCGCAGTGTACCATTTTGTGTAACTGTGAAGTTATCTTAAATGATAGACCTTTAACAGTTGTATCGGCTGATTCAAGTCTCACTTCCATAACATCTGGAAATTTTTTACGGGAAATACAAAACCATTCAGTGCCAATTGTAAACTAACTTTTATAAACATAGATTGCATTATATCCAAAATGTTAACCAGGTTTTCAAGAAAAGATTTCGCCAGGAATATCTGGGAACTTTGAAAACAACAAGCAAAAAATTCGCTAGAAGTTGTAAATTAAAAGAAGGAGACATTGTCTTAATTAGAAGCGATGACAAAAGGAGATTAAATTCACCTCTTGGTAAAATCATACAATTATTTCCAGGTACCGAAGGTGAAAGTCGATGAGCCAGAATTAAAGTGCAAAATGGAGAAGTCAAAAGAGCTGTACAAAATCTTTATCCTTTGGAATTATCGATTGCCGAGGAACTTCCATCGATATTCAGTGGAAGTCAACGATGCGAAAATATTTCGGTAGAACAAACTACAATTGATGATGTATCTGTAGAAACAAATAGAATAATCCATACCCATTTAAAATTGCCCACGATAACCAAATCAGGAAGGACAATTAGAGATCTCCATGAATTGAACTTGTAAGGACAATGTTTAATTTTTTATTATTTTGCAATACTCAATCCCGAATTTCATATTGCAAGGTGGGAGGATGAACAATATTTTGACTAATATTTTTGTTGATATTTTTTTCTAACTGCAGCTTCTGAGTAATATTGCACAAGCTTCAAGCAGATGTAATTGTTTTCTTTTTTTTTTTTTTTGATTCATTATCTATTCATATTATTATTATCTATGTTTTGTAACAGTTTATGTTTCAGAGAATGGTAATATACTATGCTGTTCTTTTTTTTTTTTTTTTAGAGGGTTAGTGTAACTTTTGTTTTCAGCATTTTAGAATATGAGTACAGGAATTATTTAATTATTGTAGAGTCATAAATAACTAAAGAGATATAGATAGTTTCTTGAGGTTACAAATTTGGTGAGAATTTTTGAACATGTGAAAATCTTCAAGAAAATCCAATTCACAAATTAAATTTCCAACTATGATTAGCTGTTGAAGATCTGTTTATTTGGTCATAAAATTCACATTCCTTGATGTGAAATTTTAAAGCTATTTTAGTTTGGCTGCTATACCTAAAACAATATTGACAAGGTATGCTTTCTGGTATATATATATTAAGAAGAAGACATGTCACTTATATACATCAGAGAAAGTACCAGTTTAAGAACATTCAATATGAATAATTAATTTGATTTGCTACTTTTGAATATTTGAGTTTTTAAAATTTTATTTATTTTAACTCTCTTTGATTACACTGATTTTTCTACTAATTAACTTTAAGGTTATTTATATAACTAGAAATTCAAGGAAAGTAGCAAAAATGTTAATAAAAGAACAATGGTTAAAGATTAAATGGCGGTCTGCAATATTTGAGGGCTGTGCTGCTCTCTAAGACAAAAATGCATTGATATAAACCACTTTACGGTTTGATCATTCATAATATTCCAATCAATTATGTAATATTTAAGTATGCAACAACATCATATTCAAAGTAAAATAAAAGATTTACCATTCTTTTGTTTGTTTCTTCATTCACTTCATTTTCAGGAATATTTAAGTCATGTTCTAAAGAATTATCTGTAACAATTGCCAACAATCGCTGCTGATTTCTGCCATCCACAGAATTCAGAGTCACATTTTCAAGTGTATTTTTAGACTCGGGAATTGCACTCTCAGCTATTATTTGGGACACAGGAGTTATAGTACTGATAAGTGAACATATAGGAGCTTGGTGACTATTATTAATAGGTGTTGTAGGGATGTTTTTGTCTCTGTTTTTAAAGATAGACAAGACACTTGTTGAGGATGAACTTTCTGAAACACTTCGAGAATTAGTTTCTGTAAATACTGTACTTACTATTGAAAGAGTTTCATCTGACTGAATATCAGAGCTGACATTTGCCTGTAATTCTGCTGGTGTATGTGATGTAAAATCAAATGATGAATCAGAGCCTGTAACAACTGAGATTAGCTTCTGTTTAAATTCCAAACCAAAATAACTAACTTTAAACATGTCACTTGACATCTTCAGAAATATCCAGAATTGATGAATGCATAATGCACCATTAATACCATTTGGGCAAGAACACATATTAAGTTCAGCATCTACAGTATATACTTTGTCATCTCCTTGATCACTGGGAACAATGAAATAGTTACCAGCAATCTGTTTTATACCAGGTTCAATATCAGATGGAATTGTTGTTGGATAAAATGAACGAAATATATGAATAACTTTTCCCCCAACAATATCCAGAAGCTTAGTTTTATAATAGGAATCAATACGAGTGACAGCATAATTTAACAACTGCACGATGTTAAATGCTTTTGTTTGTTCAAAAGTTTTATCTTTGAGGGCACGAACAGCTGCTTCATAATAATTACTTGCCCCTTGAAGGGGTAAGAGTCTGTGAAAACAAATACCCCAAAAATGTCGTCTTTGCCATAAAGATTCCACATGTTGCAGATACAGAGGATAATGCACAATGATGTTATCTGCACAAAGAGCTTGATATTTGTTACCCATTTCTTCTTCATTAGAAGCAAATAAAAGTGTCTTTAAAAGATAAAGAAGATATAAGCGATGATCTTTAAGAATGTTATGTTTTTCATCCCATAACCATCGCCACATGGACTGTAAAATTCTAAATATACATATTATTACAGCAGATTCAGACCAAACAGTATTTAGAGCTAGTCGCTGAGTTTCAGAATCTTCAGTTAAAAATGCATGAGGTCCAATGATACCCCTTCCACAAAATGCATGGTCAGGTAATAGTTGTTTTAAGAGTTCAAAACCTAATGCAAGAACAGCAGTATTGTTATTAGTTGCTATAAGTGCACCAAGAGGAATTCCACCTGCAGCTGTGTGAGCTAAAAGCAGCAATACATAATGCTCAGCTCTTTCTTTGCTCCCTGGAGATTCACATAATTCCACATAAACCAAATCTCCTGACTGTGGTAAAGAATGTAACCGCTTCATTAGTGGAGTGCATACTGCAATCACATAATGTGTACCAGACATTCCTGCAGTAACACATGTTTCGCCTAACATTGTATTATAATGAGAGATTTTATCATTAAGTACAGTGTACATATCTTTTTTCCCAAATGCAGCATAGTCTTTACCAAAATGTTTATAAAATAAGCGATAACAAAATGACTTATCAGGGCAATGATACCTATCTGAAATAATCTGTGAATACATGGTACCATGTTCAATTTGAAGATCAATTTTCAGAGTTTCAAGAGCAGAAGTAGGAGAATGACCTATCTGAAATAAATTCAGTAATTTTTCTTCAGCCTCTTTAGATACAGGCCTAAATCTTAAGGAATCAACACTGTTTGTAGGATGATTGTGGACAAATCGTATTTGAATTTCACATGGGTGAACAGGATCTACAGGATCACGCATTTTACTTCTGGAATATTTTATAAGCCTTCTGATAGCAACTACCATACCTGCAGGACAATTAGTATTTCTTTTGGCAGGTGATGCTGATTTTGTTTTCTGGTGTCGTTCAGGTTTTTCTTTCTCAGCACGACCCTGATGTAAACAACGCAAGTAAATTTTAAACGTATTTACTTTTCCAGTTTTTGGACAAGTAGCTCGTACTCGCATGGTAGTATTTGACTTCACATTAAATTCATGCCACCATTCTTGAGCCTCTTCTTCAGTGTACACATTTGTTAGTATCACAGCCTCAAAATGATCTGGTTTATTTTCGAAAAGGATCCACTTCTTTAACTTGTAAGAATACCCACATGGAAGCAATTCCTGTTAAAACAATGAATAGTAGATATATACTAAATAAATATAAAAGGGAAAAAATGGATAAAATATTCATTTTTAAATATTTGTATTAGCAGAACTTCAAGCTATTGGTTCTATAATGATCATTTTCCTACAGGCATATTTTTCATTTCTAATCCCGAATGAAGTTTTATTAAATACAGTGAAAATCGTTTAACACAAAACTGAGGGGACTGAAGTATTTTTTTATGTTAAAAGAATTTCAAGTTAATATTGTAAAAAACAAATATATTTATTATTTAGATAGATATGTATGTATGCATGTATTTAATAAAAGTCAATAAAACAAAACCATTCACAAGGGCTTATGTTAATAAAAAATTTTCAAGTTTTTTGATAAACAAAACATTTATTGAGGTTTTCGAAAATAATCTGATATGTTTCTTTGCATTATCTTTTTTAACATCAAATTGTAGACAAATTGTTCAATGCAATCCATTTTGTTATTCATTTGACTATTGGAATGTGCGTCTAAATAACTGCTCATACTTGTCATGATGTTCGTCATTTCGGATGACATGGGAATAGGAGCTACATTATTCATTTCATTTTCATAGTCGGAATCTGCATCAATGATACTTTCTGAACTTTGAACAAACTCCAAATTATCTTTGTCTTCCATAATTGGAGCTGTTACACACATTATCGTCATCTACTGCAACGAATTCTTCCAATGATACAGTAGGACAGTCCAATAATACAGAAAACTTCTCAAATATTTCATCAAGTGTCTTCTCAGTTTCAATATCCTCCTTCTCTATTTCTTTTAACGTGAACCAAACTCACCAATTTTTACACACACTGCAATGTACTCATCACCGAATTCCAAAGCCAACTGATGAGAGATGAGATGTTTTTGTGTGTCGTTCATAGGGATGGAGGGTGACAGTAGCTTAGGCAACCAAAACTGGCTTATAAAATTGGCTCATGTCACAGCCTATTCCATGGGTATTTCAAAGCCAAGTTAGCTTCTTTTCTATGATGCATGCGAAACCACCTATTTCATTTCATACCTCTCTTAAATCTCGCCTGCATGACTGGTGTTTACCGTATTTTATTTATTTCCAGAAGGGAAATCTTTCTGTGCTAAGAGAAAACAATGCATGAAAATACATAGTAGTTTGTTGGGACCATTGTATTATTTCATGTTAACCAATATTTTGTCTGAAGCATTCTCACATTAACCATATTTCACTGTATGCTATTTGTTCTCATATTCATCATTTCTCAAACTTTTGTTTTACAACATTTGTTTGGAAATCATGTTTTCAAGCAAAATTTCCTGCATGGATAATTTTAAGAAAAAATTTGAAGCAAACAACATATTTAATCTTTGTATTATCTTCCATTTGGACTATGAGTTTGTCAATAATGCAGAATCACTTTACATGCAGTCTTCAACATGTGTATTTGCTTCATTTCCAAATATTATTTCATTGCAAGTTACAATAATTTTTCATTAGTTTATTTCTGTTAGTTTTTCAAGTGTTTTATAATTAGTTTTTAGTTTGGATCTATGATCAGTATGGAAAGCAACGATAAAAAAACAGCAAGAAATGGTTCACTAGCACTTATAAAGCTGCTAAAAAAAAAAAAAAAAAAAAAAAAAAAAAAAAAAAAAAAAAAAAAAAAAAAGGGCATGTGCAAAGTAGATGGAATGGCAAACCATGAAAATATTTTAAGTCTCAAAATGCCATATTTTCAGCTGAGTAAATAAGAAGCTGAATCACTTTCTATTTAGCTGTATTATTTTCTATTAAAAATAGTTTTTAATGTAATATATTTATAATGAAAGTAATAAATATCCTCTATTTTGTGTCAATTCACTTTTCAAACTATTGCCACCAAATATTATCGCCATGTATTATACTTCAAGAAACTAAATAATGAAGAATCTGCATGAATGTGAAGCATTGTGAAGAAACAACAGTACCTAGAGCCATCAAATTTTGAAAAAAGTAGTCCTCCAACCAAACATGGCCATTTGGAAACCCAAATTTTGAATTTGCTTCATTATCTGTTTAAAATTCTGGAAAACTTTTACCAAATTTTTGATTAACAAACTCAACAATTTCAAAGCAAGCAATGGCAACACTGTATGGGAAAAAAATATTCTCATCTTCAGCTCAGGAGACTGCATATCAGACATTCTAAAGATATGCTGTTTTCCTGTTTTTAAATATTTTGTGATATTGCTGTTTAACTGAACTGAATTTCATGTGTTTAAGTGCAAAGAACCTGCTATTTAATAAATAAAGATAACACACAAAACACACACACACCACACAAAAAAAAAAAAAAAAAAAAAAAAAATTCTTTTGGGCATAATATAAAATCAGAAAGCTTTCAGATTTTTTTTTCTACTTTTTTCTTTTTAAAGGCCGGGCACTTTATTTAATAGCCATTAGCTTTGCACTACTACATGGGTTGGAATTGGTGGCCATTTCATTACAGAAGTATCTAATAGCTTGCCATCATTGCCTTCTAAGAAGGCACAGACAATTACAACTATGCCTTCTCCTGGATTCGAACTGGAGTTCATCGTTATGCCAGTCAGCATACTACATCAACTGGGCAGCTTCAGCTAAATTATTTTCCTACATTCTTTGCTTTTTACCTCCAGCCTATTGAAAAATAATAGACTGAGGTTCCACCATACATTGAATAATAATATGTAGTAGAACCTTCATAATATCATACTTTTTCATATTACATAACTATTACTGATTATTTTTGGTACTTACGGAAGTTTGCGGCCCCTGTTATAATGACAGCTAAGAACCATGGCCAAATCATTAATTCCAAACTTTTGCAGTTTCATTCAGCCATGTGTTATTTATTGTGAATTTTGAATTGCTTATCTTATTACGTTAATTTTTTCTGTTCCAAAAATGTTTAGCATTTTCAGTTTACCGAGGGAAGAGGTGAGAGGATTCTATACTTTTTTTCTAAGAAAGAGGTATTTTGCCTAGTGATCGAACCTGTATAAATGGTCACAAAATGAAACTTTACATCACTGCAAATATATGGCGGTGCAAAATGAAGAATTGCAAACTTAAACAGGCATTCTATCTGATGATTGGCTTAGTGGATCAAGAATTCCATTTGCAACAGCACTGAAATTTTATTTCTGTTGGGGTGAAGAGCTAACTTAAGTGGTGCGAAAAGCAACTAAATATCAGCAATAAAACAATTGACTTGAACAATTTCATGAGAGAAGCATGTTGTTCAGATCTCCTCTGACAGCCTAAAAAAAACAAACAGGCGGTTTTGAGAAAATCGCTGAAATCAGTGAAAGCCTGTTCATTTGACGGAAAAACACTGACGGGAGTATTCTACCCCAGTGCAGTGGATATTTTGCAGGATATGCCGTGAAATTGGTGAATGTTTTGTAGTTCAGGTAGTGAATAGAAAAGCAAGCATATTGATGACAAAGATAGTCAAATACGTAGAGGAATGATCCATAATTTATTTAGACTGTTTGCATGCTTATAAAACTGAAGATCTTGAAAAACCAGGGTATTATCATATGACTAAACCATAAATACCACTTTATAGATTCGACTACAGGCGTACACGTGTAAAATATTGACTAGGGTTCTGCGAAGTGGCAAAATAAAAAACAAAAAGGCATTGCTTGACAACATCTTCAATCATACCTAATAGAATTTATATGAAGAAAGAAACTGGAATGACAAAATGCATTTGATAACATATTAAAAGGAATTATGGAAATATGGCCACCCCGAACTTAACTTTTTCACCAAGGTGGCCGTAAATTTTGTAAGTACTTTATTTTTATATAGTAAAGTTAATGACTTGGTACAATTTATTCAGAATGTGCATGCATATATAAAACATAAAATAAATACAACAGCTGTAAATTGAATTTAAATGTATGACAAAAAATAACATAACTGAAATACCTGTAATTGAGAAGGAAGTTCTATTTCTTTAATTCTACTAATGTTACCATCTCCTCTATCCATCAGAAAGTTTTCACCTAAATGAAACTGGAAACATAGTTTTCATAAATAATATGTATAACTAAAAACTAAAATTACTTCTAATTCATTAACAGAAGATCACTGATGTACTGAGCATAATCTCTGGTATAAGTAAGAAATTTGCAGCACTTTTAGAGTAAAACTTGCAGTCTCTTCCTGCTTTTCTGAAGTGGAAGACTGGCTTTTATTTCATCACATATCATCGAAACTCAAAATACTTTATAAATGTATTTTAAAAAGCAATTTTATGCATGTTTAATGTTTTATATAAGTTTTAGTAGTTGTTGCTTAAAGTAATATGGTTCCTGGAGCTCTGGTTGTTTATACCCCAAAACACAAGAAACTCATCATTTACTATATTCAGTAAATTGTTCAATATAATTAAAAGTTACAGACTGAATTCTTGCCAAAGAGAAAAGTTTTCGATTCCATTAAATCATGCTAAATGTATTTACATTTTAAAAATATTTTTTAATTATAAAAATACCCTAATCTAAAGAGTAAATAACTATTTAAAGGAAAAACTACTTTTCAAAAAGTGTAAGATATTTTATTTATAAAGACATTATGTACAGTAGCTGCAAATGCAACTTGGTGATGCAAACAACTTTTAATAAATGGATTTTGAAGTTAGAAAACAAATAAAAGTGAATGTTCTATTTTAGAAGAACAGCTGGTGAACTGTCTTCAAGAACATTTCATGTCCATAGCTCCATCATATGATCAAAGTTCTTAGAAGATGGTGCCGAAAAAATAGGTCAGAGTAGCAGTGTCTCAAAAAGACAGCTCCAACCAAAATATCAGCCAAAAAAATTCTGTACCCTTCCCCCAGTTTTAGAGAATTGTCATTGTCCAATAATCTTCCCTGCCACTTATCTAACAACATTCATGCCTAATAAGTATTAAATGCAACTACCGAGGGGGGGGGTGTAAGTGAAATCTCTTTCGTTTTCCCTCAACAGTAGGATGTTAGCTTGGAGCAAAGAATTTTCAGCATTTTTTCATGATTCAGTCATTCTCTAGAATTCTAGGCTAATACTTGGCTATGCTTTATTGTTGCAATGTATAGGGGAAAAAAAAGACTTAACTCAAGAAGAAATTGAAAAACTGCTTAAGTTCTTGATAATGAAGCTTTTAATGAGTGATTCTAAATGTAAAATTGATGATAATGAAGGTGAGGTGACAATGATATTTGACAATAATGAAGGTGAAAAGAGGTGTCTTTCTTCATGTTTAAGTATGATTTATGTGTTTTAGTTTGTTTCAGAAGATACTGGACATATAAAAAGTGCTATTGGATTTCCTCAGGGAGGATTAGATACAAATTGCATTCATCCTAATATTTTGACGAAAACAAACGTCAATTCTTTTAAAGGAATTAATGCAATAAAAGAAGACACTAGAGAATGTGATGAAAAAATTAATTTTTTGAATGCATTCAAATACATTTACTTGATATCATATCATTTGAAACAAATAAATGTGCCAAACAGTTTCTCTTAGGTGAAAAAGTTGCTAAAAAAATCTCATTCTGTGAAATATTGGTCAACTGATAAGATGATCGAAATGTCATTTTTCGGCAAAAGATCACTATCTAAGCATTCTTCAATATCTTTAGTATTCCTATAAGAAATTAAAGAAAAACAATCCTGGATATAACTGCATGAGTAAAATTCTAAGTGTCTTTAAAATATTAAATTCTTATTTCAAAGAAATATATGATCCTACAGATGAACTCGCAATTGATGCAGTTATTGTTGTTTTTAAAGACTAAGCAGTTTTAACCAGTACATCTCAAAAAAACTTTAGTATTAAGGTATACAAACTTGCATATAAAAATGGGAATGAAAGAGGTCTTGCGCAGCGAAAAAAGTGTTCTGCACATAGAACTTTCACCAGACCTGTAGAATGTTTTCAAGGAAACGGACACATTTTTTAAGGAGAATTTCTTTCCATCCTCTCAATTGTTCCTTGGACTTTGCTGGAAATATCAAATAAACAGCTACAGTTCCATTATGTCAAATCAGAAACTTTATCTGAAGAATCTGGCTTCTAAATGAATGAAAAAAAGTGAATACAAGGTTGTTTTTATAGGGTATGGTAGCAACCTGCTGGAAGAATAAACAAGAAGTGTTTATGTTGAGCAACATGCATAATTTATCCAGAGAATTAGAAACTGGATCCAAAAAGCTGGAAGTAATAGCTAATTACAGTGCCAGTATGGGACACGTAGTAGATCTCAATGACGAAATAGCTAACAGTTACATATTTGAGCAGAAAACTCTACAAAATTGTTTTTTTGCTTATTAGATATATCTAATTTGAACACTTTTATTTTGCTCAAGATGAAAATTCCTGAGGTAAAACTTAAAATTTTTAGACATAATTTACCAAATGGTACATAAAAAAAGTTTTGCTCAAGAACTACATGCAATGCCATCGCCTAGAATTCTGCAGTAACTTACATGTAAACTTTCAGTCAAAAAACACGAGCACTTGCTACTTCAAATCAAAATTAAGAGATGTGTCGCTGGCAGCAGAAATGGAATTAGGAAAAGAACTTGCATTTTATGCAAGAAATGTGACACTATGTATAAATTGCTGAGAATTTATCACATTGGAAAACTTGAGACAAACACACAAATTTACTTCAAGCACAATTATAGCACTCAAGACTTAGCTTATTGTGTCAAACATATAACTTTAAAAAAAGAAAAGGAAAAAGAAAAAAGCCTATTTGGGGCTAAAATTTGAAAATAAGATTCATATAGTATATACACACACACATATATATGGTATGTTGTAGCAAAAATATTTTAAAAAGCTGTATAGAAATATTATTTTAAAACAGAAAAATTCTAAATAGTAAAATTTAAAGTACTAAAAATAATAAAAAGGTAGCCATTGTTCTGACCTTAAATTAATTGACTTGTCAAGGGAACAAACCAATCCACTATCAATTAACAATAACCACATTAAGTGAGAGTGTTTTGTCTTTTTTTTTTTTTTTTTTCAAGTAAGGATGATATTAGTTATTTTGCTAGAGTTAAATCAAACAAACATTTTCAGATTATGATTTTGCCTTTGCAAACTTAAGGCGATGCTTCATTTTGCCATTAGTAAAAATGTGGCAACAATTTTCAAAATCACACCAAAGCTGTACTGTATAGTGCTATTGTGGCAAAAAGAAGCATTTTTGAATGCTAATATGCATTATTATGGAATAATATAATATAAATAATATGCACTATTGTGAAAAGATAATGGAAAAACAAAAGAATCATTGCTGGTCCCATAGAAAAATCCCGATTTTCAATAGAAACTGGAATCTCTCCATGCCACTACCAACAATTCAAGAAAAGCATGTTTCATTATTTCACATAACCGGGGGGAAAAAAAAAACACTTAATAATTAAGCATATCTCAAACTTAACATTAGTAGTACAACAACCTTGAGTTTGGCGCAGATTTATGTCAAGATCTCAATTGATTTCGAGGGCAAACAGGCACATGTCCCTCTTCATCAGGAGCAAAGAAATCTGCAAGATGTGTTCTCTTCTGCTTGACATGTTTGTCTTGTTTTCACTTTTGCTATAAACCAGCATTTTTGAGAAAGTTTTTCCAGTTTCCATCGTTTGCCAATTTGCACCATTTTGGTTTTCGCTTCTCTGTTCCATGTGGTTGATAGATTCTCTCCTTTTCGGATGTGGGCAAGTTTCTGTTTTGTTTACAAATTTTTTGTCTATTGTCTCTTGGTTCATTTTGTTACCATTTTAGGCTTTCTGAATTGTATTTACTTGAGTGCATTTATTCTTTTTTTTATTTGTTCTACATTTTTTTTTTTTTTTTTTTTGTGTGTGTGTGTGTGTGTATGCTCCTGACAAAGAGAAAATCGTACCTTTTCGCCCTCGAAATCGACTAAGAGCTTGACATCAATATACACCAATCAAGGCTGTTGTGTTATAGTTCAACAGTCTCAAATGCAACCTTGGCTGGCATTCTGCCAAAACACATACACTCGTCCAAAAGGGGTGTTATTACTTGCTGAGACGTAAAAGTCTTCTCCAGAAAGAAAGTCCCCATCCTTCCACTCTAATTTGAGAATAATTTAGTCCAAACAGCCCATGCATGTTTGTGCTAAAGGTCACGGATGAGGCAGTCAAACCATACTAATTTTATGTTTCTGTTGGTGTGTTTCTGTTTCGTTTTCATATCCGAAACTCATCTCAATATTTTCGGCAGCGAGAAAATTCACCTACTCGCGACCATAAAATTTGAAATAATAATAATAAAAAAAAAAATGAACAACGTAATAACAGAACAATACTTAATACAAACAATAAGAAAAAAGAATAATAAACAGCAGAAATATTGAAATAAGAAAGAAAGAAACTAAAGGATTATAGATACAGTAAAAACTTTTGCCAAAAAGGCCAAAATTGATTTTAAACTCTACTTACGTATGACTCCAGAAAAAAAAAAAAAAAAAACTTTTGAAAGTGGGGCCATAATTGAAATAAGCATAATGCTCTAAGGATTATCAAGAGTAAAGCAAAATGCAGCAGTTGGCTGGATTGGAAGGGGTGCCACTGGCATAAATTTTCTTCCAGTATGGCAAAATAGTTAACATAAAACTGAATTTAAAAAATTGAAAAAAAAAAAAAAAAAAAAAAAAAAAAATACATATTAAAACTTAAGCAGAGTAAATACAATTTTAGAATTCAGACTAAATTTCAACTAAAGTGAAAAATTATTTTACATCGAAGAAAGGGAACCAAAAAAATTTTATACAGTTTTAATACAAAATATACAAATCTTTAAGACTATGGGTTCCTATGGGTTTGAGACAGGCTTATCATACATTGTAAGTTTACAGATTAAGCATTTAACATTAGCCCTATTAAGATAACAGTTAATAAAATTGGTGGGAATGAGATAACTTAAAAGAAGAGATGACTTAAAAGAATGAAGTCATCAACACCCGTACATATTCTTTTAAATCTATTAATTTAATTGAGTACTGTGTTACCAATGGCTTTTCTAGAGATATTGGAGTTCCAGTTAATAAGTTGAATACAGTCAAAAGTCGTTAATCCGGACTCGTCAGGACTTCTGCGATTCCGGATTATACAT